GTCCTGGGGATTGAACCCAGGGCCTTGTGCACTTGAGGCAAGCCCTTTACCAACTGAGCTACATCCCTGGCCCCAGCTAGTGACACTTTCATGTGCATAATGACCACAGAGAGGTAGGTGATGACAGGAATGAAGTAGTGACATTTGAGTGGGGTTGGAGACCAAGGATGGGGTTCCTTAGGGGTGAAGGGCTGAGGTGTGCCCCACCCCTTACAGGTTGGTTCCAAAAGAACTGAATGGTTTGGTCCCTGACACTCACTGCCATCTTGCTCCTGCCGGGAAGTTTGTAAGGCGACGCCACCCTTGCCGGGACCCAGCTGTCAGCCCTGCTGGCTCGCCTGGCATAGCCCTGGATGCTCTGACCTGCCTCCCTGGCCAGGGATCTTCAGGCCGTGGCTGGACTCTGCCAGCCCCAGCCTCTGACCTCCAGTTCTGTGGGCTCAGGTGTGCAGTCCCCAGGTGCTCAGGGGCTTCTCTAGGATGTGAGCCTCAGCTCATTGACTTCGGGGAGGAAAGCCTGGCGAGGGCAGCCCTTGCCGTGGGGCAGCTGGAGCAGGGTGGGGACTTCCCTGGAGGTGGGGAGAATGGGGCCTGGGGCTGCTTCTCTAGACTGTCTTCATGCCTAGGTTGCTTTGGTATCAGATGAAGAGCCAGACCATACCTGCTGCCCCAGGCATTCCCTCCCAAGCCAGGGATGGAGGCATAGGAGCTACACGAGGGACCACGGCACCTGGCCTGAGTCCCCAGCAACACAAGTTTGCTTGCTCTTCCTTGGTTGACACCACAGGCCTCCCCACCCCACTTCCTGTTTTTCAGGCACAGGCTGTCACCCTCACTGTAGCCCAGGCCTTCAAAGTCGCCTTTGAGTTCTGGCAGGTGTCCAAAGAAGGTGAGTCTTTTTCATCGAAGTCATGGGAGGGCGGGAGGGCAAGGGCCCCCAGTCAGACCTGACTGACTCCCAGCCTCATCCTCGCCTGGCTGTGACTTTGAACAGGTCCTGCTGAGTCTCATTTTTCCCACCCGATGGAAGGGCAGTGGCCATCTCCCTCCCTTGGGGTGCTTGTGAGACTTCAGTGGCTTCTTCAAGTTGTCCTTCCTCCTGGCTGGAGACCTAAAACTACCCCAAGACTGCTCGCAGCCTGCCTCCTGCCCAGGGATTGCAGGAGACAGTGCCGGGGTCTGAGGCTTCTGCTTGCTGTGCCTTGATCACACAGAGAAGGAGAAGAGGGAGAAAGCTGTCCAGGAGGGAGGGGATGTCCCAGGGACCTGCCGCGACAGCGCCCCATCTTTGAAGAGCTGTGAGTGTTGGCCAGGGGAGGGCCCTTCAGCTGCAGGGCATGGGGCCTGCCTTCCGCTCGGGGTCCTCTCCTCCCAGGGCTGGGCAAATCTTGATGTTTGATTTTGTTTTGTTGTTAAATCGATAATACATGTTCGTTGTGGTTAAATGAGAAAATGTAGGCAGGAAAAAAGAAAGCCCACTTGGAGCACGTTTTTCTAGATGTGTCCCTGGGCAGGGTGTGTGCGCTCTCTGTGTACTTGCATTCTGTTGTGCACTCTCTCTGAAAACCTAAGAGCTGTGCAGGAGGATTGCAAGTTCAAAGCCACATCAGCAACTTAGTGAGGCCCTGGGAAACTCAGTAGGACCCTGGGGATGTGGCTGGGTGGTGAAGTGCCCCAGGGTTCAATCCCTGGTACAGAAAAAGAAACCAACGTCAACGTTGTGAAGTGCAGAGTTTCAGGTTTCAGTCTCAGCCCTCAGTGGGAGACAGGTTCTCATCTTGCAGGTGGGTCCAGCTTTGGGAGGAGGTGTGGGTAGGGTTCTGGGTGGTCTGACCTGTTGGTCAGGGCAAGGCTGAGTCCAAGGAGGGATTCAGAAAGAAGTGACACATCTCCCACTGATACCCTTGGCGGACCCCCTCACAGTGGTCGCCACTGGGAACCTCCTGGACTTGGAAGAGACAACCAAGGCCCCGCTGTCCACGGTCAGTGCCAACACCACTAATGTGGACGAGGCACCACGGTCTCAAGCCTTGAGTAGCAGCAGTGTTGTCTGGGTGAGTGACTATGTGGCCTGGGGACCCCACAGAATTCACTGATCCTTGACCAGATCTCTGGATGAGCCTCAGGCAGCTCCAGGGTCCAGACCTTGGCACCGTGACCTGTGGGCCTCTAGGAGGACCAGACCCAGCCCAGCAGCACCCAGTCCCAGGGCAGGGGATGAACAATGTCCCCTTTGAACCTGGGGCCACGTCCCCAGCAGGCCTGACTCCCAGCACAGCTGTCTCCTCACAATGCCCAGCCTCTTGGCCTGAGCGTCCACAGCTCTGCCCACCGCAGGACCAGCCAAAGGCCCCTTTGTTCTTGGTGTGGCAGAGTTTGTGCCTGAAACCCCTCCCCGCGCAGCCGTCTAAATGAGGAGTCAAAGACTTGGGCTGTTGTCAGTGTGGCCCGGGTCCCCTTTTGTCAGTGTGGCCTGGGTCCCCTGTGACTCAGCGCAAGCCTCGGACTCTCCGAGGCTCAGCTTTTTCATCTCACAGTGAGGAGGGTGACCTCTGCCCACAGAATCTCCCAAGGAGCTTTATTTTATTTTATTTAATTTTTTTAGCTTTTCATTTGAAAATGATTTCAGACTGTGTTACAAAAATAATACAAAGAATTCCTGTTGTCCCTTCACCCAGATTCTCTAGATGTCACCATCTTGCATAACCACATTGCAGTGATGAACATCGGGGAAGTAACTCGGATAGACCGTGTTACACAACCTGCAGACCCTCGCCTTTCTCCGCTTGTCTATTTTATGTCCATTTTCTGGTCCAGGGTCCATTGCAGAATCTTGCACTTACTTTTCTTGTATATCTTTAATTATTAAAAATCTAGAACATTGAGGGCTGGGGATAGAGCTCAGCTGGCAGAGTGCTTGCCTTGTGTGCACAGGACCCTGGGTTCAATCCCCAGCACCACAAAAAGAAAAAAAAAAAAATCTAGTCAAGTCCCTTTGACTGTTGAGAGACCTGGGTGTCCCTCAAACCCGTGGTGGTCTGGGGACCACCCCTGCTCCTTGCCCATCTGCACCGGGGCAGTGGAGGGACCTTGCTCAGGGCTTCTCCGCTGCAGCTATGGGTCCTGCCACCCATCATGCTGCGTGCGTTGGCATTTGGGCTTTGGGCGAGGATAGAGGCCAGGGAGCCTGCTTCTCCAGCCTTTCCCTTTTGGCATTTTGAAAGCCATGGAAGTCACCCAGTCCCTCACTTGATGGAAGGAAAAGCTGAGTCTCACAGAGGAGCAGTGACTTGCCCCAAGTCTCACAGATGCTGGCGGCAGAGTTAGGAATGAGGCCTCCGTTCCAGTGCCTGGGACGTGCCCTTTCTCGGCCCCACACCCTGCTGTGGGTCCACAGGCTGAGGTGCTGCTGGTGGCGCCAGGTGCAAGGCCTGCCTGAGCCTTCCCTCTATCACCTCCCCCTCGCCCCATATGGGTCCCTAGTCCCTGTGGCCGAGCCCCTGTAGTGAGCGTGGGCTTCCCCTGCAGAGTTCTCACCTCCTTCTTTGTCTCCCCAAGGAGCTGGACGATGGCCTGGATGAAGCGTTTTCAAGGTAACATTGACTGTGTTCCTTGTGTTGGGGTCAGGGTTTGGGGGTTGGCCCTGCCTGTCCCTCCCTCCCAGGGCCTTTGTTGTGCCTGACCTCCAGAGCAAGATCCCCTCCTTCCACTCAGCCATCACCAGGGACAGGCTCCCCTCTACCTGGGGGGACCCCTTCCAGGGCGGCCAGATGTGTTGGAAAGCTGTCGCCGTTAGGTCAGAAACTCCTGGTGGCTGCTCTGCCACCATCTGAGCTGAACCAAACGCTCTGCAGCTCAGGCCGATTTCCTCCTCCTACGCCTGGGGCAGGCTGTGTCCCCTCCTGGGAGCCTGCTTGGAAGTGGGGCAGGGAGAAGGCAGAGCTTAATTAAGCCCAGGGAGGAGGGCCCTCAGGCAGCAGGAGGTATTTTGGTAAAGCCTGAGGGTGGAGGCGTTTCCTCACTTTCCCAGAGGCCGTCCTGTAGCCATGGCTACCTGCAGTAGCAGGACACACTGCCCAAAGGACTGTGGCTGCGGGGAAGCCCTGCACCCTGTCAGCCAGCCCCTTGCCACACTCCCACTGCTGGGCTCTGTCAGGTGGGGACAGTGCCCGCTTTGCACCATCCCCAGAGGCAGCATCTTGATCCCTTATGGGGACAGGGACGTTTTTACCACCTTTCTTGCTTTACTGGCTGATGACCACCCCTCATTTGAAGAAAAGTTTTCTTTTGCTTTTCCTAGCTATTCAAGTATCATATATCCTTTATTAAACAATTTCTAAATCCAGGGAATCAGAAAACAACGTGTACAGCCTTGGTGTAGCTCGGGCAAATCCCACAGGGATGTAATTTTGCGTTTGTCCTTGGGGAACTGCTGTCTCTCTTGACACCTGGGTGTCAGAAGCCCCTCTCCTGCTGGTCAAACCACCCAGAGTGCCTTCTGAGGATGTGGGCTGTCACTGGCTTAACTCCCCCAGTTCTGTGGATGCTGGGGGGTCCCCCTGTACATAGGGCTAGAGCACGCTGTTGGACGTGGTTATAGCCAAGGAAGGTTCTCAAGTTTAGGCCGGTTCCCGCCAGGCCGGCCATCATGCCTTCCTGCACTGCCCTCTCCCTCTTCCTGGTCACTCCTGGTCAGGCCTGTACTGTGCCCTGGCCTCTCTTGGGTTCAGTGTGTCTATTGCCTGGCTTTTGGATTGATGCTCTAGGGACGGCCCCCTGGTCAGAGGCTCTCCTTTGTCCTGTGTCCTGCGATCTTCCTGCTCTGCCCTCTCTGGTCCTGTGCTGCTGGGCTGGACTGGCTCCTCAGGCCCTACCAGCTCCTTGCCCAAGCACTCAGCTCACACAGCTCTGCCTTCCAGGCTGGCACAATCACGGACGAACCCTCAGGTCCTGGACACTGGACTGTCAGCGCAAGACATCCATCATGCCCAGAGCCTCTCGCCTCTCGACTGGGAAAAGCCTGACAGCAATGGCCCTGAGCAGGAGGACCTCTTCAGCTTCTGAGGGCCTGGGCCCATCAGGATTCTACCAGCCTTGACATGTGACAGACCAAAGCCACCTGTGGCAGGGCATCCAGCTCCAGGACCTGCTGGCCACCTCTTCCAGCCCACAGCAGCATCAGCCTGCAGATCAAAGCTGCGGCCAGTCAAGCAGGGGGGAGAGAGGGGGTTTTTAACCTGCTTCTTTAGAACTGAAAGATGCCTTGAATATTTATTCAGTGACTCCCGGTTCATGCTCAGAGGCCAGTTTCCCATCGGGCATGTTATATGTGCAGTGCTGTGACTTCCTGCTCTCTCCCAAGCCAGCTCTGCTCCAGCTGTGGGTATCAGGACAGTGACCAAAGCATTTCATGTCCCTAGGTTTCCCTGGGGACATCCCCTCTCCTGGCTGAAAGTGATGAAGCTCAGCAGCCCCCAGGCAGGACTGGGTCCTCGAAGTGGTCCTCCTCAGGTCCCCAGCAGGCCCAGGCTTGACACCTGGACCCAGGCACTCAGAGGGGCAGCCGCAGACCAAAGACAGGCCGTGGCTTGGCACTTTATTGCACACACAGCAGCCGTGCCTGGGGGCTCCTTGATGGTGCTGATAAACAGAGCTTTCTTTCCGCCCTTCCTCCTCCAGGAGGGGCCAGGATCCCTGTGGACGGCCCCCACCATGCTGGGACCGGTGGAACTGGCTGCCCAGACTCTGGAGTCCACTGTGACTGTGGGGACTACCTGTGTAGTCACCCCCAAGGCCTCATCCCTGCCTTCGCCCTCCCTGGATGAGGCTCTGCCTGCTTCCTGGTTGTCTGTGTGCGTGTCCCTGCCCCTCCACGCTGTTGGGATGACATGGACCCGACACCTAGGTTCATATAGGAGAGTTTTGAGGCCATTTTACAGATGAAGAAACTGAGGCCACGCCCGTGGAGGGGCTGGTGTGAGGAGTGGAACTGAGATTTTGATGCCAAAGCTGCTTCCTCTGCTGCCACCTCTGGCAACCTGCTCCTCCTTTTTCTCGAGCTTTATTGTCCTCCCAAGAACCAAAAAACCCCAGCTATTTTCTGACCAAAATGTGTTTCATAACAAACCATCTGGTGCCTTTCCACTCAGAGCTGGCACAAGCCTCGTGCCCTGCTCCCCGCCTCACTGTTGATTTCTGGGAAGATGCAAGTGTTTGAAGTCTGCTAATTCCAAGAGTGAAACAAATCAAACTCTGTGCACATCCCGCTGTTCTCTTTCCGGACACTGCGGCCAGTCCCAGGCGGGACACCGCAGCAGCAAGCTGTCTTCAGTCCTTCAGTCTCTCTTTCCTTCCTGGCCCTGCCCTGCGGGCTCCGGCATCCTGAAGCCCGGCCGAGCCGGGAGCATCTTTTCCATCCCAAGGAGCCTCCCCAGAGCAGGCGTCAGCAACCCCAGGAAACAGCATCTCAGAGGCGAGGCTCCGACTGAGCATCTAAATCAGAGCAGGCGCCTGGGGAGGGGGTTTTGGGGTCTGCACGAGAATAAGAGTAACTTCCCTTCCCCCCCAGTCGCGCTGCTCTTCCCATCCTAGGCCTCCTTCGTCATGGCCTGTATTTATCACAAGGCAGCGAGGGTGGGGCAGGACTCAGGCCGTCCTTGGCACAGGGGCTGGGCTCCTGCTGGGCTGTGAGGGCTGCACTGTGGCCTTTGTCTCCTGCTGGCCGGCCGTTGGTGTGCTTCTATGTGCTGCTGCCCAGTCTTGTGCTTTGCCCTGTGATGCTGTAAAGGAAGTTCTAATGAGAAAAAATAATAATAAATATTCTCTTGAAATATAAGGAGCGCTTAGAAGGAGCTGCTTGGTGACCAGAGTGCTCCGTCCAGTGGCTCTTGCTCTTTGGTGTTGGGAGCAGCAGTGGCCACAGACCTGGGCAGGTACACACTCAGAAGCAGCACCCAGAGTGGGGGTGCTGTTGAAGGTCCAGGCTGCAGACAGGCTTGTGTGGTGGTGAGGTCACCTCTGGACGACTCGAGGCCACACCAGTGACCAGTGTGTCAGCACTAGTGAGGTCTCTAAAAGCTGGTGTCAGGGGTCCTGGGTCAAGGTCTGTGAGCCCCTGAAGTGTGTATTAAACCTGTGTGTGCCTCCTGTCCCTGGAAGGACACCTGCTGTCTCCGTCACATTCTCCAGTGACCCACAGCATACGTTCATTCACAGGACTGCTACATGAAAATGGCTTCGGCTCAGTGCTGGGGCCAGGGCCAGGCAGGAACCACAGGAGCCCAGGATGTGTGGCTTTGTGTGATGAGGACAGTAGGGAGACCCACATCCAGTGACTGTAACCCGGGATCAGTTGCCTCTTTCCTTGAGCCTTGATTTCCCCATCTGAACAGGAACAACTGCCTCCCCCAGTCTCCCTCCCTGGGGTTGGGGGACTCTGGTGACCACTGTACTGTGTGTAGCGTGTACACTCAGCTCACAGGTTATTGCAGAGCAAAGTGCAATTTGGCCCAAATATGTTTAAGAAAGTCTGATGACAGTGACCAATGTTAGTGGCCCGCCCACTGCGTGCCAAGGATTATGTGAGCTGGCTCATAGGATGTGTTGAGCCCAGAGGCTATTAATTCCCTCCTGCCGAGCGCACCAGGGCTCAGAAAAAGAAAGCTGTCATGCCCTGGCAGGGCAGTCACATCCGTGTGGGCCTCCCCTGGCCTCCCAGGGTCACACCACCTTCTGTGGTCACACCACCTGCAGCATCCTGTCCAGCTCACAATGACCATTACAGCAGAGCCACACTCCTCGGGTTCTGTCAGCCACGGTGCAGGGGCTGGCCAGGCCTGGCCCTCTGCTGCGGCTTGTGGGGGACTCCAAGCATTTCTTCAGATGGTGATATTTAAAACATCTGGAACCCAGAGACAGGCTCTCTGCTGTCGGCTGTTGGGCAGACTCTCATGAATTCTGAGTGGATCACAGATGACTAGGAAATTCTCTCCTTTCTTCTTTTCCCTGTAATCCGAAAAGACACCCAACAAGTTCATCTTTCTGTATAAATTTGGCCAATGTCTTTAGTCTCCAATGTCTCAAGTTATGAATCCTGAGGGCCCGACACGCGTCTTCCATGCGTAGCAGATGAAGTGAGAAGAACAAGGTCACTTCTGACTTGACGTGAACTTGAGCTTCACTGGTGGTCTTCTCTCCAGGAGGAGAAACCATCCCAGTTAAGCCTCAGAGGGGTTTTTGACAAGCCCGGCCAGGGCGTCTGGGCGGAGTCCATGTCTGGGGTGCTGACTTTGGGCCTGGTCTTCACCCAGCTGCTCTGCCCCCTCCCCCACACAGGCTATCAGACAGGTCAGACAGGTGGCTTGTCTTTTAGGAAGTGACCTTCCGCCCCGTGATGCCCTTTATGCCAACATGGGTGGTGTTGTCCTCAAACCAAGCCACAAGGTGGATGGTCCTAAGCCCACTTTACAGATGGGACAGCTGAGAGTCGGGGAAGAGGAACGGTTGGACCCACAGTGAAAGGCGGCCTGGGATGTGAACCCTCATCTCTACTGCACTGTGTCCCTCATAGAGCAAAGGGCAGACTGAGCCCAGCTGTCCCTGTCCTGCTCACTCACCTGCAGCCGCAGCAGTGGGCTCCCTGGGACACACTGGCTGCTGCCGGCCAGAGGCTGTCTCCATGGGCAGAGCATCGAGGAGGGGACTCCATTGACCAGAGCTGAGCCTGCCTGTGTCTTCCCGGGTGGCTGCACTTTGGGGCCACTTCTCTGGATGTGTCTAGGACTCTACAGGGCCATGTCTCATTACCTCAGCCCCATATGGCCCCCAGCAGCCTTGTCCAGCCTGCCAGTGGGGCCCATGAGCTTGGTGTCCTCAGAGGAAGGATAGGGATGGTGTGAGGGGCCCCCTCTGTAATACCCCTGCATCCCCACCAGCTGCTGCGGAGAAGTCGGTCCATATTAACCCATTTTTTTTTTTTAAAGAGAGAGTGAGAGAGAGAGGGGGATAGAGAGAGAGAGAGAGAATTTTTTTAATATTTATTTTTTCTTAGTTCTCGGCGGACACAACATCTTTGTTTGTATGTGGTGCTGAGGATCGAACCCGGGCCGCACGCATGCCAGGCGAGCGCGCTACCGCTTGAGCCACATCCCCAGCCCCATTAACCCATTTTTGAGATGACAATGCTGAGGCTCAGGGAAGTTGCACGACCCTCCAGGCTCACACAGTGCTAGGAGGCAGGCCTGGGATTCTGAGGCCATGTGTGCACTGTCCCAGGTGCCCTGCCCCTCCACAGGTCCCTTGGAGCATTTGGAGAACACGGTGGCCTTGCTTGCTTGGAGCTTCCAAGGCAGCACAGAGTAACCTTCACCGTGTGTGGGCTCAGTTCCCAGGTCAGGTTTGTGCCACGGCCTCCAGCCGGGACAGAGGGGCTGTGTGGTGAGTCCACATTGCCAGGCAACAATTCCAAGTGCACCTACTGAGCCCCAGTCTGGCTGCCTCTGCCTGAGGCCCAGATGCTGATCCTTCACATTCTGGGGACTGTGAGTCTTGGTGCCATGCAAAGCCCCGGGTGTGGGCTGGGTTTACCCACCACTAGCAGAACCTTGGAAGCCAGGCTGAGGGACGGTGCCTTGGGGCCCGCAGCGGGCTCCTGGCAGAAGGGAGTGTCCTCAACTGTATCTGGGAGGACAAAGGTTGGACATGGACTTGGCTAGCTTGGGAGCTCTGTGGCCAGGGCCCGTGTCTAAGTGACACCATGGTCCTGTGCCAGGTGGTACCTGGCACAGAGTAGCCATCAGAAGCTCATCAGAAGGGGCAGAACCAGCTGGGTTCCCAAGAGGACTGGCTGGGACAAGGGGCAGCTCCAGAGTGGGCAGCGCTGGGCTAGTGGTGATACTGAGCCTCTGCAGTCCCGTGTCCACCTTGCAGACTGTCAAACCCATTGTCCGACTCACTCGCCTGCGTGTCCTGGGCTCAGAGGCTCCGGGTCTCTGTCACTCGGGACGGGGCCCTGTGATCCCTGGTTTGGTAAACATTGTGCGGACCAACCCTCTGCTCCGACCAAGGGTCTTGGTTTTCAGAATGTTTTCAAAGCAAGATTCCAGGATGTCAGTGCTGGGAGAGCCGCTGACAGTGCTCCAGCCCCCCAGTTTACTTCCTGCTGGGAACTGAGACCTTAGAAGAGCGCAGGACTTCCCTGGGACCCCGGGTCAGTTGACCCACAGACTTCAGGACCCGTCCTCTGTCCCCAGTGGAGAGAAGTCCCTTCCATGCTTGATGGTGGGGTCTGCAGGCGGGAGGCCAGGCTTCGGGGAAGAAGTGATGCTGATGGGAAGAGCGAGGACCGTGGGGGTTCTCACGCTCCTACCCAGCATCCACTCACCTAACGAGCGTCCACTCATCGGGCGTCTCTTGTTCTCACTCTCAAGGGCCCCGAGGTCTTGGGCGCCTGAAAGACAGTAGAATTGCGATCACAGGCAGAGCTCCGGGCCATGATGATTTGCCCCGAAAATGACTTAATGGCCCGTGTCTTGATTTCCTCGCCTGTCACTTAGGATGCCAACAGTCCTGTCCCAACAGCTGTGTGAGAGCAGTCACGGAGTTGACGAGTGAGTTAACAGCATGGCCCTCAAGACTCACTCCGCTGCCCCAGTGGCTGGGACAGGACAGAGGCCAGGGGAGACCCAGGTCTCATCCTAGGAGCTTCTGCCCTGATGCCAGCAGATGCACATGGCAGAGCCCCCACCACCAACCTGTGCCCTCAGGAAAACTTCAGACTTGGCTGCCTGGCCCGGAGGCCCGTCACTGTGGCCACCTCAGGTGGAAGGTGGAAGGAGCATCTACATACAGTCACTGGGAGGGCGTGGGGACTGAAGGAGGTCCCCGCAAGTGTTCAGGGAACATGAGGGGCTGGAGCTGGGGGACCCTGCCAGGCTGCCGCTCCTGCAGCCTCCTGGTGGCAAATGGTTGGCAGAAGCCGGAACCAAGCGGAAGCCTGCAGGGGAGGGGAGACAGGCATGTGGTTCACAGGGGTCCAGGAGGCCACATGGGCAGGTGCTGGGACATCGAGGCCCCCCAACACCCTGGGGGGAGCTGAGGGAAGGCCAGACCTACTGTGTGCGGGGCTCATGCTGAGCGTCCACATGCGTTATTCCTTAGGGTGACCCTGTGAGACCCGAGTCTCAGGCAAAGTGACCCAACAGAGCCAGGCAGGACTGAAGCCCCTGTCTGTGCACCCAGCCAGCTCTGAGCAGCCACCTGTCCAGGCTGTGCCTACAACAGGGACAGAGAGGCTAAGCTAGGCTGAGCCAGGAAGGAACTGAGGGCCGCTGGGGAGGGTCTCCGTGTTCATCAGGCGGCACCCAGAGCAGGAAGCGCTGGGCTTGACGACCAACGGGGAATGGCAGGACCTCCCCGTTTTCCACTGGGGGCACCCAGGTTGGTCAAGGGAAGGGACGCCAGGGGCCTGGGTTCAGTGGGGGCCCAGTCTGCATGTTGGTGACTCTGTGGGCGTCCATGGGTCTGGGGACCACTCAGGGACCCAGCAGGGCTGGTGTGTTTCTTGGGTCCTGGGTTGAAGGCTGGCCTCCTGGGGTTCTCTGACAGCTGATGTACGGAGGACCCCCAGCCCCTAGTCCCCAGATGCAGGCTTTAAACTCAGAGACCCTCTCTCCCAGCTCCCCAGGCCGAACTAGGGCTCCCACCCCCATAAGGATGGCTGTGTGATGTTTGGGCCCCGCCAGCCCAAGAGTCTGATTCCCAAACCTGGGGGCTTTCAGGAGAAGCCAGGACCTCAGCACTGGAAAGAAGAGAGGTGGAAGTCAGGGGGCCCTGGGT